TCGAGCAGCGGCTGGAACCGACGGGCGGAGGTGGGAGGGAGGTGGCAAACACGCGCATATTTATTTATGCAAACGGAATACGCATCCAGCTAATTGTGCGGTCGCACACCCGCGGTGACTCACGTGACGGCTACCCGGGCGTCGTTCCTGCATGTCAATTCGCGTGACAAAGGGTCGTGGCGCGTAGCCGGCCGTCGTCCACCCACGAAACTTCCGGTTCGTCCTCGAACCGCCGATCCTCTCTCTCTCTTTCTCGGTGTCCCTCGTAGATAGCCGAGGCTCGCGTGCGCGCGGGACACTGGCATCGCGTGGTCGCGCAATTAGGCGCTCTTACGTGCAAACGACAGGAATTTTAAACGCGACTACAACCGATAAAAACTCCGTACCGTAACGAGCGAACGAGTGTTTCCTGGAATCGTCGCGATCCACTCTCCGCGAGAAATCCCCTGCTCGATACGAGCCCTTAGAGTCGCTAACCCAGGACGAACAGACTATGGTCCAATTTGCACTAAATATTTGATTTTTTTAAACGGGCTAATATCGAAGTTTAGCGACTGGTTTTAAATAGCTACGCGTCTCTTCTCGCGATGTAACGGCGTTTAAAATATATTTGACGGCTGCAGGAATAATTATACATCCGCGGTCCGGCAATATGGTTGAAAATTGCATGTCGGCCCCCGGGCGAAAACCAGGCACGCCTGATTTACGTCGTTGCTTCGTACATTGATAGCGTAAACGCATTCGTACACGCGTAAATGTTGCTCCTCTGCTGCATTAGGGAATGGTAAAATGTTGCCCAAAAGGCAACACGATGCACGCAAAGATTAACCGTCGATATAATGAACCTCGAGACATTCTATCACCGTGCGTATTGTATATAAAATTCCTCGAAACCAGGGTGGTCGTCGTTCGTTTCGAGTGAAAATTTCCTGATGTTAGAATGTTCAGGCCTAGTATCGATTTCCCAGCGTGTTCCAAAAGGTTTCTTTTGCTATTCCGTGCTAGTGCAAGTCGATGCTCGCGCTGGAGGAGTTCGCGGAAGGCTTCTATGCTCGAGACCGAGAAGAACTCCACGGATAGGTAGGAAGAGCGAAAGGATCGCGGGCGAATGCTCGTGGCATCGGTGGAGGACTGTCAGTCCATCAGAGAGTCGGCGAGCCGGGAATACCGAGGATGGCTTCCCGGCTTACTCGACGAACAGCTCTATCTGTCGAGCTCGAGCTGACAAAAACCGGCGGCCCGCGTGGTCGCACGCACGACCAACGGAAAGCATCGGGACGACGGGGGGTTAGGACCCGACCGACCGAGAAAAACCCTCGGATACCGCTCACCCGTGTCCAGGAGGGTGCTGGCAGAAAGCAAGGACGAGGAAGAACAGCGCTATGCAACCTCTGGACGACGATTAGAGTCCTCCGATCCGGAGCTCAACGACAGTTCTCGAGTAGACGATGATTAGAAGCCTATAGCCTAGCTAACAACATTTGATTCTTGTTAAAAGGAGTTGGAGAAGTGTCCTGAGGTAGAGGAAGTCGAATCGAGACCAGGGATTTCGTTTAAGAGCAAAGTTTCGATTTAAATCGTTGACACCCTGGGATCAAGGGCGCTACCGTCCCGGCGATTTTTACGAAATCGCTATATTTGTCCCGTCAAGTATACCTCGATCGTTAGCCGCGATAGGTCCCATTGAATGCGGGTAAATCGCGATCCTTCCCGTTATCGAGATAGATCGCGACTCCGGAGGATAGAGATTTGCATCGGAACGCGAGGCTGGAATTTCACAAACACGTGGCTAATAACGAGCAGTGAATAGACGATCGAGGCAGCGCGGTGGGTACGACCCGTGTTAATTAATCAGGATTAGTCCATTTCCTCACTCTCTGTCTCATATATTAATTCCCCGTGTTTCCATTACGAGTTTTATATATTTATTAAAATTCGTTAATGTATTATCATTACCACGATTCAAACGAGTTTGAAATACTTTCGCGCTACTATTTAAGTTATTATGTACCCCGTTCCTGGGTTCACAGCGAGTAATAACGATACTAATGAGTCTCGGTTTGCGAGAGAATTTACCCGAGCCTGGACTCTTTACATAGTACGCGGAATAAAGAGGGATAAAAAGTAAATGATAATAATAATAATATTGTGGCCGCGTTAATGAGACGTCCGCGCCGGAAACGAAATACATAAATCCCGCGCCGCGGGGGGACGCTGGAATATTTCGGAGCGACGCAAAGCGCGTACTTAGGGACGATCGGCGCTCCAGTTCGTTTCGGTTTTATGGATCGCCACGGAGGATTATACGACCGCTCAAAGGAAGATACTACTGCCTTTGGGGATGATTTAGTAACCCAACGATGTGAAGGATAATCGTATGAAATATCGTTGTATCGCGGCCGCGGTGCGTACACACGGCGGATGCCTGGTGCGCGGCACCGTTGACCCCAGGGAATGCGAGGCCTTTCGGTGAGCTTAACGCGCGGGAATTTCATACAATATTAACGAATATTTTTTCCTTATGAAGGGAATACTGAAATGCGGCGCTATTAACTCGTTGAATCGCTCGCATTAATCAAGAACAGCTCGTCGCGATTCTCGGTCCCGCGTCGATCTCAGAGTTCTTTCGATTCTGATATTACTTAAAATATATTTCATCTTCATCAGAAAGTCTTACCTAGTTTCATAGTTTCATGGTACGCGTTACAGTTTGTCTACGTTTCAAGCAAAAGTTAAGGGGTCAGTTGGAATCATAGGAAGGCGTGTCGTCCATGAAGGTGACTTTATGGTCTTCGTTGTCTTCCTACGTCCGTTCCGTCGACTCGTTCACGGGAATACGCGGGGATCGCGCAATTACAGCCACGCGTTCGAGCGCGACCCATCGGAAAGAATGGTCAATCGCGGGGCCATCTATCGCAGCGACGGCCGGCGTCGAGGTGTATCGTCATCGCCAGCGAGGCACATAAAACACGACATACCAGATGCTGTTCGCCGAGTCATCCGCGATTTACGGCGATAACTTTAGTAGCTGGACAATTTGTACCTGTAACGGGCGGGCTGTGGCTTTCCAGCTTCGATCGCGTCCCGCTGTCGTGCGGCGCGAAATCAGCCGCGATGGAAAAACAACGAAAGTCCACGTGAAATAACACATCCACTACGCGCAGCGACATTTTTTCCTAACAATTAATACGTCCACTGTTGGTTTGCTGCGTTTAAATATATCATCGAGATATATTTAAATTACAATATATAAAATAAAAAATGTTACACAATTCGATGGTGTCACGTATAAGAACAATTTGTGGTCGTTGATTATTTAACAATTCACGAAGGAGTCAAAGGGGTAGAATAGGGGTAAAGGAGAACAAAAGGCGAGAAAAGAATTAGCCTTTGCGCGAATCGTATTGAAAGGGTTCGCGGAGAACGCTCGAGGGAAGAAGAAGAGGGGGCGGAGAGGACTTTTCTGCGCGCAAATCCGGAAAGGGGAAACTCATTGGAAATTCGATAGAATCCCTTCCACGTTTATCGAGGGCCTTTGTGCACTGGGGTTTTTTTGAAAACACGAGAGTCTCGATTCTCTCGCAATGGGAGCAAGGTATTTCGTTCGTGCTCTTGCCGGTATTCAAGAGAGACCCGTGTGCACGTTGCACGGCCTTTTCGAAGGAGACCCACGGCGGATTGTATTCCGTATACACCCCGATTGAAATCGATATTCCCCGCAAGGTCGGCGCGCAACAAAACCAGCGGAACAATGCATCGCGTGGTATACATTCGCCGGGGCAGCGGAATAACAGGTAAAACCAGAGATGCCAGACGGAGCCCCGGGTGCACCGGGGGACACCTCATTCCACTTTCTCACACTGTGCCAGATCACGCGTACGTGAGCTCGTAGAGTATTTGGGGAGTCGATGAAGACAAACTGACACGTGCCCTCTTTTTCGATTCTTCGAAACTACACGAAGTTATTTCGAATCGTCTCGCGGGGGTTGAGAGTGGAAAGCTCACATTTGCCTTCTCGCTCTTGAACAGCTGAAATTTCGAAATACACGTTTCAGAAATATAAGCGGTGGTCAGCAGAGGCCATGCTTTCTCCCTTTCGTGTTAACATTCCCCATCGTCCATGAATTATAACTCGAATACAATTGAATTTCCGTTTGCGTTACCTCGAAATCAACCTCTTTGCAACCACGAACACATACAAAGAAACTGAACGAGACGAAAACGGTGACTCCAACAAAGGAGCAATTCGCGATGACTCAAGAGGGGAGGGGGATTATCTGATAACCGAGCGGAGATAGGTACACGCGAGAATGCAATTTAGGAATGCAAATCTAAATTGGAAAATTATGCAGATTCGTAGGACGCGAAACCGTAACGTATATTGTAACGAATGAGAATTAATCTGTCGATAGAAAGTGAAACTATCGTCGCGCTCGATCATGAGTTATTGGATTAGCTGGGAAAATTGTGAACAGCGTGTTCGTAACAGGATACCCGGTGCCCACGGTGAACCGTATCGCGCGTCTGGCTTAATAATTCAGCGAACAGCGAACTCCGTGGCATCGTTTCTCGAATCATAAACTGGTTGTCCGCGTAATAGGCGACGCGAACGCGAGATTAAACGGTGGCTAACGCGAATGATTAACGAAGACGCGTCGACGACAGGCAAAAGGGATCGAAGACCATCGACGCGGTATTACCGTTCGACGATCGTTCATTAGCACCCGGATCGTACGAACAAGAGCGAAACCAGACGGGGCCCGCTTTTTCTATCGTTCCTTTTGAATTTTTCAAATCACTCCACGGAAAGGAATAGCGAATTCCACGGCCGGTTCGAGGGGGGATCAACAAATTTCTTTCCGTCCGCGGTCGACGCGTTCCTTTTTTTCGTTTTTTTTTTCTTCCTTCCTCTTCTTCTTTAGAGTCTTTAACCTTTTTCTCGTGGCCTGGGCCGCTCGTCCGGGAGACTAGGGGCCCCAGCGAGCCGCAGATACCACGCAATGCCTCTTCAAGGTGGCAACAGTGTTGGCGGGAAAGTTATTCGACCGGCTGCCAGTAAATCATTCTTCGCGGACTCCTGCTTTATTATCTGCTGTCTCTCTCGCGTTCGGACGCAGCCTCCGTCGCCTCCTTTTTGTCTTTCCTCGCCTTTCTCGATCGGGCTTCTCTCTCGGACCGCGGATGGTATGTTCGAGCGCTTGTTCGCCGAGGAAAACCCATGAATAAGTTACATCGCGATTCTCGTAACTTTCAACGCTTAATCGCGCTCCCCGTCGCCGTCTTTCAGAATTTCTGACCGGTAGCCACCGAATCCGCGCCATCGATCATCGATCGCGCCTCCGCGCTTTCTTCAAACTCGATTCTTTAATTCGCTGGTCCACAAAATTTCGTACCAGCTAATACACGCGACATCTAGGGATCTTTAAACGTTTGTCTTCGTTGTCTTCGGTGGAAAAAATTTAGGAAAGACATGGAGATTGAGAATAATAAAACAGTGAACCAAAGCGATCTTCGATGGTTCCGCGGGATGCAATCCATCGAGGATGAGAGGTGGCGATTCGTCGTCGCGTAAATAACAAGTGCTGGGAGCACGAAGGCGTCCATCACCGCCCCCGCGTCCGTCGTTATAACGTCCCCGGATCCTCTCCGGGGGAGGTGGGCCACTCCTGAATTAGTCACCCGGTCCGCCATTTACGAGCGGGACCACCTTCCCTGACGATCCGCGGGTATCCCGTTTCAGGAACGTCGAACGAAATTAAACAAATCGCTTCGGAGGACCGCGGGGACCCCGTAGAAGGCCGCGGACGGTTTTCGGGGGCTCCTTGCTCGTGAATCCCCGCGTTGTTAATCGATACCCTCGAGTTCTGCGCGCGTCCCCCTGTTTATTCAACCCGCGTCGACACCCGGCAATTACTTAACGACGCGACGATTAATTTGAAAATGTCGACCGTTTCAGGTGCAGGCGACCGACCCCGATTGCGGCGTCAACGCCATGGTGAATTACACGCTAGCCGCGGGCAGGGTGGAGACGGAACAGCTGATGGTGCGCAGCGACACAGGTGACATTTGCGTCAGAACGCCCTTGGACAGGGAAACGGCCCCGTACTTGGAGATACCCGTCATCGCCACCGACAGAGGTAAGCGTCTTTGAATTATATCCCAGAAAGTTTCATAAGTAATAACTAAACAAATTTATTAAAAATCATAAAACGAACTTTTGAGAAAAATCGAGAGGGGGTGCTGAAATTTTTACATTCTCCTCTTATGTATTTTGTTCTATATAACCACTTTAAAATAATAATATCGTGGTATTTTCTTAGAGGGTGCATCTAAATTCTTTGTCACTTCAAGGGGGTGCAAAGTCGAGTGCAAAGGGTTAAATTTCGTTTTATGAAATTGTTGCGTAGCCCATCTCTCTCGATGGAGTGTCTTCCACGGTTGGATAGGATGAAGTAATCGGTTCTATTCATCCGTTCCGATTACCGCCTCTCTTTCCCTCTTCTGCGTCGACCATAAGTCGTAATACCTCCCAACGAATTCCACCGTTTTTCTTCGCGTTAATCCCCGTCGCGACAGTTTCTTACCGCGGAACAGGTATTTTAGCGCGTGAATTTCCAAGAATCCTTGGACCTTTTAAATTCCCGTTCGCCCCGACGATTCACTTCGATCCGCGGAGGGCGAATTAAACGCTCCGGCTCCCGACAACATCCGAAGCAAATTGTCTCGCGCAATTATTTCACGTGGTCAGCGTCAACGCGTTTTAAGAATGTCTCCGGATAGCCCGACCTTCGGGGAATTTACCCGGGATTAGGTTTCTAAGTCACGTAACCTTCGGATGTTTCAATGATGCTTGTTCTCAGAGATCGAAATAACGCAATTATCTTCGAGTTGCTCGGAGTACGACGTGGTGTGTTAAGAAGTTGTAAAAAGGAGGTGGCGCGATCTCGAAGAATATGACTGCCCCCCCGTTCGATAATAATACAATTATTTCACGGGGCGTTGGGGGAAAAAGTGTCGTGGTATCGGGACCGTTGAACTCACGGAGGTATCTCGTAACTTTCGCCCGATACGTCGATCGATTAGCGTTGGCGTACCCGTAACGAATCTTCCGTGACCAAAATAGGAGCCCGTAAAGAAGCGACCGCGCGAACAATGCTTTTCCTCGGTCTTATCTCTCTCGCGGCGGCGAGGTGAGAGACGCAGAAACGAGAACGAAGAAGAAACCACGGCGTGGCGCGACACACACGGTGGAAACGTGGCAACGGGAAGAAAAAGAAACGACCGCGGGAGCCGGCGTCGGTGGAACGGGGGAAGAGAGCCTAGCTATCACCGCGCCAGGATCTAGTAGCCCTATAATGGGGTGTATGATTTATGTCGCCGGTGTACGCGGTGTGTGCCCATTTTCAACAGTCTCCAGGCTGCCCTTACCAACCTAAGGACAATGACTGAAGTCCATTGATCCGCTGGAAGGTCGTCGTTCACCCCTTGCGTCAGGTAGCCTTTATCGTCCCCCATCGAGGAACCTTCGAAACTCACGGGGAAGGTGTCTACCCCATTTTCTCATTTTCTAGAGCCTCCAGAATGGCCTGGAAAGGTTCAGGAGATTGACGATCTTATGGAAAACTCGAACGAATGCATCAGAGGCGCCAGTCACATTGAAAAAGTGGTAGACCAGGAAACGGTGTTAACCCTTTGACTACTAAAAGCGCCTGTGAGCGTTCAACCTGTTCAAAGTTTCCCGCGTCAAAATCGACCGTAGTCGAAGGGTTAATAGGGTAATTAGAGCCCGGAACGGAAGTGGTGGGAAAAGGAGAGGCCCGTGGACCGAGTAGCAGAGGAGTAAAGGCAGGGGAAGGTCTATTGTTGGGCCTCACGCCGTTTTGCAAACAGCAGAACTCCGGTCCATAATTGTCGCTCGTTATCGATACGATTGTTCGGTGTGCTACCAGGCTCACCGACACCATCGGCACAATAGTACCGCTCGGATATGACGGGAGAGCAGCGCGCGTACCACGCGAGCCGGCTTCGCGTGATTTATACCACCTGCTGACGACTCAGGACGTCGACCGAGCTAACTCGAACACCCCACGGGCTACCCAGGTACTCGAGTGTAAGATTACTAGCCACGAAATCGACATCCACGTAGCCTCGCGATTGCTATGCCCCGACGAAAACCTCGATCGACGTTTATCAGGAAAATTCTCTGCGTACGGTACATCCTTGGACGTATGCTGACGTTCACGATAAACGGCAAGATTTTATGCCGGATAGATCCACCGAACCAGTCGAGCGACTAATGCTCGGGGCTGAAATATCTTACCAGTCGATGACATAAGCCTTCTCCAAATAACACTAACGCGTTTCTTGTCGATGCTCTGTGAGATTTTTGGGAGTGAAATGGAACTGAACGTCACATGATTCGAGCTCGTTTCATGGTTGATCAGAAGATCTTACAAACACTGGTCTCGTAAAGAAATAACCAAAAATTTAAATATAGTAATTTCCAGTCGATAGGGAACAGAGAGAGCAACGGATAGTCTAAACGTGCTATTCTATCGCGCTAATGGTGTCGGATAACGGCAGAGCCAGGCTGATAATTATTGCCTGCTAGTGGCCTCGCTTTGAATCGAGCCAGAGATCCGCGAATGGCTGGACGATACGCGGATAGACTTTCTTCGGAGCCACTTTGTTCGAGCGTAGAAGCGACCGGATGAGCTGTTGCTAGACACTGGACGCCGGCCCCTGGGGTATTCGATGGCCAACGCCGCGAATAATAAATTTCGAACGACCGCTGGCGCGATGCGGAATCCGAAAAACGCGCGTCGAATTTCATCCTCGCGATATCTCGAAATGTCTACCGAAACGTCTTCTTTCGGAATCAATCGGAGTATCTTTTCCACAACTTCGAGGAAATCTCCTGGAAAATATTTTTCTTTATACCCCGCGTTTAATCACCTTAGAAACGCAAACGTCCACAGCACCGGTTTCGCGATGCATTTATATCCGAACGAGTGACAAATCCACTCTGCATAAATCCTAGCTCTCGTCAAAACAAAACTAGTAGCTACCATCTCTTATATTCAAACACCCGACTTCGTCAAACTATTAACCAACTTTCCTCCAACCACTATAGTTTATCTCACCAACTGTAAATCAACGTTTATTCCGAAGATCCCTCGAACAAGGGTTTCAAGACCATAATTTTATTATACGCAAGAAGCAATAGCGTTGAATCTTGCCCAGGATTTTGTCACCCTAAACGCGTTTACTCCGGAGGAGCCTGGGACGAGGAAACGAACAACGTCGGGGGATTTCGGTTCCGGGTGTCGCCTGTGATGTTGACGAAACAGGGACCAAGGCTCGATGTTATCTTCTTTCTGGAAATTGCGCATTACGTGGCGTACATGCGAAACGGTTCGCGCATCTTGATGCACGTCCTACGATCAACGTGCAGAAATACAAAGAAAGGCGCGGCCCGGAGTTGCGGCAACTTCCTGAAAGCCACGGGACGACACTGGCGGTGACTTTATTGACACCGTCGTCATAAATCTTTCGGACTTAACTCCCACCGACGATCATTGTCCGGGCGCATTTTTCCGCGTTTCAGTTTCGTTCCGAGGGCTTGTCAGCGCGGCGGTTTTAAAAACTCGATGGGAACCTTATCGCGGCCGGATCGCCCGTCGGATAACACGACCGCTATCAGGGCCCTACCCAGCCAGTTTTACTCCCGTTGCAACAATAATGTCGAGTAGATTCCCTTCTTCCCATGAAATAGAAATTTCGAGTCTCGAGATTTTTGTTACCTCGTTGAAATTCGTTACCTCAACGTCTCGACACCAGAGGGCTACGCTCTTGTCTTTCTCGCAAGTGCTCAATCTCAATCTCGACTGAGTTATATTACTTAACGTCGATTTTTACCAAATTGGTAAATTTCCTTTAATTACAATTGACATATTTTATACGATATTAGTTTAAACTCGTCCAGAGGTCCCAATGATCCACTTGGGGGTTAAATTAAAAATTTAAAAAATAGCTTTGAAGTGAGGTGGTTGAGCACCGCTGAGATGGACCGGGGCCGCATAAATCTTGCGGGGGCACCGTATCCTCTGCCGGTTGAACGTCGAAAAGGACTTGTCCCGGGGACGATCGACCGCGTGAAATTAAAAGGGGTCGGTGGGCCTAAGACTTGCGGGGCTATCGGGATACGCGTCGCGGTGTCGTTGACCCTCGGGGCGCGTCCCAGGAAGCGCGGCATCCTTCGGCAACACGGCGATATCCGCGTCTCGGATGCTCGGTTTTATTCGATCGTTAATTTGATCGATCTTCGAGGGCCGGATGCGCGTGGAATGTCGGTGGATCGTTTCGGTCGTGTAGAGGAGAGCGGGAACGAAGAGGGGGAGAGGGGGGGGGGGGGGACGTCTGACGACGGAGTGGAGCGGCTCGATAGAGAAATTAGGGGTGCATTTCTTCGAAGGGAATTCGCGTGGCCGAGTATCGCAGAGGCCCCAGAAGATCGGCATTTCGATACCTCGAAGTCGTACGGAAGATGCCACGACGAGGAGAGACGGCCGAAGGGTTCGTCGTTCTTTTCGGTCCTCCGGTCGAAGGGACAGGGAGAAGGGAAGAGGCGAACGGTGAGACGCGTGGGGAGGGAGAAGCGGGGAAACGTGGGGGGAAGGTGGGGCCCTCTGGGCCCTTGACGCATGACTCCAATGACACTCGTGCCTATAAATCTCGTCGCGCTCCGAGGTCCGCGCCGGCCGAGTCCATATATTACTATGAGTTACGGGTGTAAACCGTTTAAACATCGGATTACCCGTTTTACATACTGTCTTTAATATTAACACTTGCGTCGGGATTCGCCTAAATCAGCTCGGGCAACCAGGAGCCCCGCGTTATCGCGTTCTCGCGCCCTCCTCGCCTCGCGGCCGCGTCAGCGTCGATTAATTAATCCCTGGCCACCGTCCGGGTTCGACGAAAGGAAGAGGAATCGCTGTGCAAGCGCGATTAGGCCCCGACGAATAACGTGATTTACGGATACCGATCGTTGGGGGAGCGTTATTACTTCCCTCGTCGGACCGTATATCACTCGTCCACGGATCGGGGCGATACTTTAACGCGCGAACGAAATTATCAGACGACTTTCTCCCATTCTTTTCGATCCTCCTCGACCGAACAACAAAGTATGCTCGCGGTTTGCCAGCCGGGCCTTACAGGCCAGGAAGAAACATCGGTCTTGGGGTTGGCCTGGTAGCATGAGAAACCAGACCAGACTCTTACAATTGCCTTACCTCGCAAGCTTCGAGTGTAATTTTACAGTAGTTTCTATATCAAGCAGAATAATGATAATGATAATAATCTGTATTAGACTTTAAACGAGCAATTAAGGAATCGTAATCGTAGCGCCTAACTAGGTTAACCCCACTTGTGTCAGACGCTTCAGTAGACACGAGATCACGCCGTCGTACACTTAGTCTAACGACAAAGATTGCTATACTTCGTATCTTAACAAACTGACCACTTCCAAAATTGAAAGGGGAAACAATGGTGGGACGTGATTCCGTTGCAACTGTAACTTGGATCGTGCAACGATCGATTAATTATTCCTCCGCTGATTGTAACGTCGCAACGACCGATCTTTATTATCTCTATATTGATCGATCGATCCTTGCGTGAAATTGCGGTCGAAAACCGTGGCGGGCAGAAAAGAAGAGCGGCGTTGAGCCAAGTCTCGCTCCGGAGAGATTCCTCTCGCTTGAAATATTACCCCGAGCGCATTACCCTGCACCGGGGGTGTAAGAACTCTTCGCGTCGACACAGAGGCGCGGGCGCGCAAAAAGAGAGAAACACCATAAACTCGTCGAAATAACGGGCAGGGAAGGAGACGGTGAAAGCAGAAAGTGAAAGAGAAAAAACGGAAGGAATGAAGTTTGCCGCGCGGGGAACAGAGAGAGAGAGAGAGGCGAAAAGGTGGTACGGAGTCTGATTGGCTCCGAAAAAAGGCAACGGCACGGGGCGGTGGTGATTTATGTCGACCGGCTCCGAGAGTCACCGTAGATTCGTTCTCTACGTCGGCTAATACCCCGACATTATTTGGCTCGATAAGAGGATTTCGCGCAAGAATGAAATAAACATAATCGCTAGGGGTCGCACTTCTGGTCCCCCGAGACGCGCGTCCAGTTCTACATACAGTGCTTCCCAACTTCCCCCCTGTCACACGTTGAGCCTCTAATCTTGTTCGAAAAATCCCTGACGACTGGATGAAATTCAAATAATAAATTCCGCGTAAGAAGATATTGTTATTTATCGAAAAATCTAATCCTGTTGCAGGTGGCCTGAGCACCGTGGCCATCGTGAGGGTCCAAGTGACGGACGTCAACGACAACCGTCCGGTCTTCGAGCCGCGAAAGTACAACGTCACCCTGAAGAGCGACAGCCCGATACAGGGGCCGATTTTGAGGCTCGTTGCCACGGATCTGGACGCTGGACTGTTCGGACAAGTCGCGTACAGGATCACGAACGGAAACGAGGCGGGAGTGTTTCACATAGATCGCAACACCGGCGAGCTGCAAGTGGCCAGGCCGAGCTTGTTGTCTCGATCGCACCTACACCAGCTGAACGTGACTGCAACGGATGCTGCTGGCCTGAAGAGCATCATGGACGCAGAAGTTCGAATCACCACGTCCTCCCCTGGACACAGGATCGCCAGCTGCGAGAAACCACGCTACACGGTCACGGTTAAGGAAACCGTACCGCAGAACAGCATCGTAGGAGGCGTGAAGGACGCTGGTGCGTCTTCGTCGTCAGGTAAGTCCCGATACGTTGATAAAAGATAAATGTTCGATTGAGAAGGAAGCTCGAAATCACTCTTTGGAAGTATGGGGATTTTAGTAGGATTCGTTTAGTAGGTGACTTGACCTTCCATTACGAAATTTAAAAAACTGAATCCCTATCACGCGAGGATCGTAATGGCGAAAAGATCGTGTCGTTTGGAGGATTTTCAGTGGTCCGTTGCGTCGGATCGGGGCCTCGAAAAGTACGATTGTCGGACGGTGGCCAGCGAATGCATCGGAAACGTATTCCACGCGCGGCGTTACCGCGTTAGCATAGTCGCGTCACGAGAAAACTGGCGGCGACGTAGCGAACGCCCACGTGTTGGTGTACGTGCAACTACGTCGAGGGCCCAGGGCCCGCGCGATCGTATACGTGGAGACAGAGCCCGGGTATCCTGTATCCCTCTTTCTTCTGTCGACGGGGGAACCGACGGCATGTAAATCATACGAGGGAGTCTATTGTGCGCGCAATGGCTGCGAGGAACGCGGTATCCGTTTCGACGGGACGCTAGCCCCTCGGGATGTTTCGACAAACACTCCAACGTGGATTCCGTTGCTGGAATCCACCGGAGATTACGTTACGTTACGCATTATGTAATTAGGAATCCGCTAAAGATCCTCGAGCAAACAAGATTTGTAGATTTAGTCACTTTGGATAGTTCGAGGATTAGTTGAGTAGAATAAAATGCAGACGGTAGGGAGTTCGTGACGCGAGGCTTTGGAATCGAGCATCCCGGACGAAAGATTAGGATAAGCACAAGGTAGTACACCCACAAACTTGGGTTTGGATTGTCGCCACGATACCGAGTTGCAAGCCCATATGTATTCACACTGGTTACAGGCCTCTTTGTACGTCTACCTGTTTCAGCTACAACAGAGCTCGAATTGATGTAGTCGCTTTGCAACTCCCACTGAGAGAACGGTCATGCTACCAAGAATGTTTAGGCCACGACGTGAATTTGCTTCTTTAGTGACTTGGGTATCGTACGGAGAGAAGGTTCGAATATTCATCCTGTTGCAGACTAAGTTTCTATTTTCAATATGAGCAACCATAACTAGCAAAGACTATCCTGCAACAACCCAGGTTCCAAATTCTCGTCTTCCTCCAATAGACGATCATTGTACTGTGCGTCGGTGAGAAGTTGGCAAGTGAAAGGAATGCGTTCGAAACCACGAGAGGGGGGCGATAGGTGGCGCTATCGACGCACTCCCCTATCTCGCTGGCTTACCCCAGGGAGGTCAGAAAATGTATCGTCGGGGCGAAACAGGTGGGCCACGCGCGGGTGGAGGAAACGTAAGGTCCTGGACGGGGGAGAGGACGCGAAGGAGGGTAAGGTCGCGGATCCAGGGAGGGTTGGGTGAGCCTAAGAGGGGATCGGCGAAGGCGGGAGAGGTACGTATCCGTGTTTCCACACTGGTGGTACATCCGATGCAAGATACGGCGCGTCACGACCTGCGCTCACCGCGCCATATACCCGATGCACCGTGTAAAGTGTCTCGTGGCGTATCGACCGGCACGGTTCGCTACGTTATAGGCTCGAGAATGGTGGATAGTTTACACGGTGGTGCCTTACCGGTGGTCGTATTGTTCGCCCGCCATGGCCCGCATATGCAGCCTGTTGCATATCAATGCGCGAACCTCGAGTGTGTTCGACCCTCTCTCTCTCTCTCTCTCTATCTCTCTTTCGCTCCCATTCTTTCTCCGTTGGTCGTTCTGGCCGCTCCGGGACGGACGGATCTCTTCTTTCGCGGAGCGCTCGATCGTCCTGCGTTCCGTTCGTCTCTCTTTCTTCGCCGCGTTCCTTCGCACGCGATCGCCAACGGAGGAGAGGGCTCCGCGGAGGAAACGTAGGCCGCGATATCTACCGGGGTTAAAAAGTATCCTGACCCCGATTCGCGGGGCGAGCTCCGGGCCGCCTCGTTGTCGCGAAACGCCCGGATAAGCCACAGGACACAAAATGACCGAGTGGTTATTTATTCAACCGGCGTCATAATAAATAGATCGACTGAGCGCTCATAGGTGCCAGTATATAGCAGTCAAAGGGTATCGAAGCAGTTTGTTTAATTTCGAGGAGGACGGGGCTTCCGAAAGGAAAGTCACGACTCGATTTCGGACGTAATCGGACGTTGATAGGGACTTAACGGTGGTAACGCAAGCTCGAAAGGGTGTCGGGTTTCGCGGCGAAAGTCGTCGTTCCCGTAGAGATCGGATCGATCGGGGCGATTTCGGGATCGGGGCACGGTGAATCGGCCACGCGTCCGCGCGGGGAACCTGTTCGCGCGGAAGATCGGGCACTGGCTGGCACTCGGGCCCACAATATTTGACACACGGCAGCCAATCAGATTATCAGATTAAAGTCGGACGGGCGGCTCTCGGGGACCCCGGGATCGTCGGCACAGGTGCGATTCGTTTTGCGAGAGAGAGCGTACCGCGACACCTGTTTCGATACGGTATGACGCGTCACGAACGACGCCCGATTCGTTCCGCGCACGGGACGCGCGGCGTGTAACGCTCTTCCCCCCCATCCCGGTCCCTATCGAAAATTTTCGAAGCAGCTACGGGGGCACATTTGCATAATTATTGCCACGATGATGGTTCGCGTCGCGGCGTTAACTCCGAATTCATTAATTTCGTATTTATCGCGGAACATCGAGCCGGGGCGTTATCAGATCGTCGTACCGAAAAACCAGCGCCGGAAGACGTTACCGCCAGCTTTACGAGCACCTGTTCCGATAAAGCTGACAGGAACGCTCTCCTCTGGAAATAACGAAAAACAGCGCCGGGTCGTTACGCGGGGCGCGCGAATCGTCGAAAAACCGAAGGGGCCAGTTAAAAAGCAACGTAGACGAACGCCTTATTGGGCGGCCGGGCCCCGGAGATCGCGCACGGACGGACGACCGCACGATCCTTCCATAAAACCTGGCGACAAAGTGAGGAACGCGCTTCATTTTACGTCCGAGTTTATGGTACCTGACGGACGGGGGGACCCAGAAGGGGGACAGGGGAATCGTCGCGACGACTAGAGACGACCAGTTTTATCTTATCCGCGAAACGACCGGCCGCTCCCAAGTTTTCTCGATCCCGAGCTTTCGATCGCGAAGGTGTCCTGCGATCCTGGCCAGCGCGACGTTTCCAAACAGCCGTCCCTGGAATTCGAGCGTAATTCTTCGCCCTTTCGTTCCCAGATCATTTCAAAATCGCCGGGAGGAAATATTTGTTTGCGTCGTCGGGAGATAATCGGGTTTTGGAAACCACGAGTGCCCTCGACCAGCGTTTTTAGAAATGGTCAATTTTAATATTTCAATGATATTAGAAGAAACGTGAAAGAGATTCATCGCAACGATACAGGAAAGGATTCAGGTCGATGCTATTTACATTGATTCCCGTAAATCGCTCTTTCGATACTTCATCGAGTCCTCCCATAATTTAATTTCGACCTCTTAAGATTCATGGTATACTCGGTGGAATAAATGTAGTGACTCTCGTAAAAGCAGTGGGGCGCCAAGGCGATACAGCCATAAATTATCGTTTCGGAACCGCGCCTAGAAAACCTTTTCACACCTGTTAATTAAAACTTATTAAAGCTGAATTATCGAAGTATCCCGGGGAAAAATATTTATCTGCATGTTTCACGTCTTGCAAACGCGTACGAATATTAATTTGATAACGTAACACCGATCGATCTAAACGACTGATTGTACATTCTAGTTTGAAGTATTAAAGTGATAGAAATATTCTATTCAATAATTTTGTATATGCAATCGTATCGCCGCGGTGAAAATAATTTCTTGCTGTAGAAAAGATGTGATTCACCACCCATAAAATAACTTGTGAATATGTGTGTTTTAAGCAAAATTGTTTCCTTAGAAAGTTGATCGAAGCTCCAGAGTATCCGTCTTATCGAAGCCTATGTAAAATTCTCACAGGTGTGAAAAGGTTTTTTAGGCGCGGTCCTCGAACGATAATTTATGACTATATCGTCTCGACTCCCCGCTGTGTATACGAGAGTCGCAATATTTGATCCACCAAATATACCATGAATCTCAAAAGTCCTGTGTTTAGGTAAACGGTATCGAGAACTGTTCTCTGCATACAGGAAATTCAGAGAAGCCATCTCTATTTATTCAAGAGTCCTCTTTCATACCATTTGCACAAAGCATTACATTGGTACTGGATCGATCGCTGCAACTTCGCAACATCGATTGAACACCCCATTTCCTGGGCTACCGGATATCAAACTGGTCCAGAAGAGATGGACTCTGGGACCTAGCGATTCGTAGGCGTAATCCGTTGATCCTCGAGAGCCCGGAATTCCTCTCACACGCTTACGTAATCCCAAAGGCGATAAGATAATCCATCCCCCCTGGTGAAAGGGTTGGTAACGAGATCGAATTACTCTGTGGATTCCCAAGGAACGATACCAGTCGATGGAGCGTTTGGTGGTTTTCGTACCCTGGGATTCTTGTCCGGGGGAATGCGCCTCGAGTGGCGGTCGACGGAAGAGACGACGAGAGAGGGTTGGACCCCGCGAGACAAGAGAGCAGAACGAGAAAAAGACGGAGGAAGAAAGGAGGAGGAGGAGGTGGGCCGTCGTCGTCGTCGTCGAGGTCGCATAAATCGTCGCGAGTCGGATTCCGGGCAGCCGAACGCAAGCCGCCATTGTCCAGGACTTTTTGCCCCTCCCTCTCTCGCTCTCTCCACGGCGAGTGCTGCTGCCGCGGAGCTGCACTCTTTGCATACGCTTTAAATATCACCGCTCCGTTGGCTTTGAGGGCTCCCAGCACCACGTCTTTCCCTCTTATGCGCTCCTTTTCGATGGTACCGGCCGAACGCTGGGGCGGAGCAGACGGTCGACGTCCAAGGGAAGCCGAAACCAAACTCTTCCCTCGGTTTCTGCTCCCTTTGTGCCGCTCAGAACCGTCCACTTTCCGCCATCGCCGCTGCCACGTCGACTTCGATCCTAGTCTCGAGCT